CATATATGTATATGGGCAAACAAAGACAAGAAGGAGGTGAAATAATGACATTAACTGTTTGATCGGAAGGGAGCGTGTGTGTGTGTGTGTTGTTGTTGTTTTTTTTGCAAGTGTTTTACGGTGCTCGCAAAAGCATAAGGTCAAAAGCGCACGGGACACTTTAAGCATTTACAGTTGGTAGGAATTTTTAATAATTTTGCCCAGATGGCTGCCGAAGCCTACTCTTATAGATTTTGGACCACCAAGGGAATTTAACCTGCACAACTTGCACACAAGATCTCCGAGATTTTTTTCCCTTATCAGAGAAAGCCAGGGGTAGTTCTTACATACCATAAGATCAAGAGTGTGGCTGAAAGACAACAATAAGGAGCCAAGGAGTAACAGTAAAAAGGCAGATAGAGTCAGGAGCCAATAGTTAGGGTGGGGCAAAGGAGGGGAGGGGATAAGGCAGAAGGTGGGGACGAAAGCAGACAACAGAACATTGTTAGAGAGCAGGACAGGATGTGAAAGTGAGAGGAGAACATTTTAGGGAAGAAAATTTTTAGTAGCTTTTTTAAAAATGTGGCCTAAATAAGGTCACCCTTGATTAAATTTTAAAGAAATATACATCTATTTTGAATAGCAGAAGAAATATCTGCGGATGAAGGAGGTGGTGGAAGCTTGGTGTCAGAGGTCTAGCGGGGTGATAATATTATAGTGTAAAGTGCATAGAGCTTGCTGTCAAGCCAGGATATGAGCTATACAAATGCTATTCATTATTCATTGTAAAGCGGAGAGGCAGTAAAAAACAACCACACCAACAGACAAACAGCTTGAGGGCCTTAATCAAACAGAGCTTTGCCTGTACAAATATCGACGCCAAAGCAGAAGAAATGGTTACTTACACTTTTCACTGTTTCGAGAAAAATGAGTTCGCAACTTTGACATTTTATTGAAAATCTAAATAACATAGTCGAAAAAAAGAAACACTAATATCTCAATATCAAATCAAGCTATGGCTTGGATCACAGAGGTAAAAGAGAGGCTTAAAATCTCACAACCTATATCGATTACTTCATTTTCAGCAAAAATGGATATTGTCACTTTTTGTACCCGTCCATCGATACAAAGATTTAGAGAGGGGGCTCTCGTGGCCTAGAGGTTAAGGTGTTCGCCTTTCATTCAAAAGTCCCGGGTTCAAATCCGGGTGGCGACAAAAAAAATTTCTTCTGTAAAGTCTCCTTTCAGTTCACCTCTTTTCCAGCTCTCTAGCAATGTTCTGTCGTCTGCTTTCGTTGCCACCTTTTGCCCTATCCCTTCACCCCCTTTGCCCCATCCTATTGGTTCGCTGACTCTTTCTGCAGCCTTTCTAATGTTACTCCTTGGCTCCTTCATACTGCTGTCTTTTAGCCACAACCCTGATCTTCAGGTAGCAAAGATCTACACCTAGCCTTCTTGGGCAAAGGCAAAAAGTCTCGGAGGTCTCGCGTAACAGTTGAGCACGTTAACTCTTTAAACCCTAATTTTTTCCACCGTTTCCCAGAGTTTTTTTCTACACTCTCCTAAACCTGGTTCACAATGTCTCATTATAACCCCAAAAGCTTGCCTCCAACTTCTTAATAGCAAAAAAACAAAGGCTTAGTCATTACTAAAAAAATTTGGTTCGGGAACAGTTCCCCCCAAAACAAGAAGAAAATAGCACTAAATTAAACAAAAACAGTTGTCACTAGTATCGATGGGGAACAGGGTAATTCCTGCCGGAAGCTCCCAGCGTCCGATGGGGTAGAGTTAAAGATCCCTTGGTGGTCTAAAATCGATAAGAGTAGGCTTCGGCCGCCACCGGGGCAAAATTCAAAATTTCCTACCAATTGAAAATTGGTTAATGTGTCCCGCGCGCTCATATGACCTTATGCAGTTGCGAGCGTCATAAAACACTTACCAAAAAAGAAAATAAAAAAATACAAAGAGGACAGTAACGGTAATAATTGCATTTAAATAGAGCACATATCCATGCTCTAAACGCTTTACAGCCACTGTTACCCAAACAGACCATAGAACACTCAGAAACATTCTCGGCTTCCCGGGAAGCATACAGTGCAAGCTGTAGACTGCACATGCTCAAAGACTAACTTTCTATAGCCGGGTACCCATTCCCACCTGCGTGAAGTGAGGAGAATTTGTGTAAAGTGCCTTTCCCAAGGACACAACATTTGCGAGTCTCAGAGCCTAGCCACTAGGCCACCGTTGCCAAACAAGTATTTTGGAAAGAGACGGCGCACACTACATAAAGTTTTGACAAATCCTTTTTGACATGGTTTGATACACTTGAAAATGGCAAGATTTTTCTTCATGCAGGGGTAAAAGATACCATTTTTGACACAATTCTAACCCTCCAAAATGAAGCACATTTGATCAATTTTCTATTCCAGGTCATGATAGGGTAGGCCTACATTTGAATCAGAATGCTGCTACTAGTATAATGTACTGCTACTACAACTACTACTACTACTACTACTACTACTACTACTACTACTACTACTACTACTACAGTACTACTACTACTATCACTACATTTGATGTTGTAAGTGCTACACATGGAGTCTTCTTCCCTGTGTTCTTCGCCTAGATCTCAGGGCTAGTCCACTGCTAGTTCTTCAACCTGCATGCAGTGCAGTAGCTGCTTTTTACGTGTCGTAGGTGACCATTTTTTCTTTGCACCTGGAATGCGCTATGCTCTCATAGACTTCCAGGTCAAATCTGATACTGATAAAACAAAGCTAATGAGGTATATTCTAGGGTCTATTTCATCACACGGTATTCTCTGAGTCAGTGCCATTACCCCACCCAACCCGACCTTACCCGGCCCCACCCAACTCGATCTGATCTGATCATGCAGTGCAAGTCCATTTGACCAAAGAACACCCCTTTTAGTATGCAGTGCACACTGCCAATCGAATTCAGTTGAATTAAGTCTGAGCTAGCCAGGTTTTCCTCTCTGGGGAGCAAAAGGTACATGTACCATTTTGGCACGATATGACCAACTCGACTTATGACCTTGAAAAACAAACACATTTGAATTTGACGGTCGCAATATCAAATTAATTAGTCGAAATTGGTCGAATTTTGCCAAAATAGTAGCCTTTACCCCTCTGGCCCTGATTTGATTAAAACAAATTCAATTGGCAGCATGCACTTGATATTATAGACAGAAAGCGAGGTAGGTACCTGAACGGGTGATGTGGTGTGATATGGCAGAATGATCTCTGTGATGGGAGGTATTTTGACGTCTGGGCCGAGGACACGCACTTGACCACCACTGGTCAGATTTTGACAGGTGTAGCTGCCCACGGACTGGTCTAAACACAATGTAAAACACATAAAATTAGAAATGGGGGAATGGTATAGAGAGAGACAAACAGAAAGAGAAGGAAAAGAAAGAGAAAGTGAGTGAGAGAGAGAGAGAGAGAGAGAGAGAGAGAGAGAGAGAGAGAGAGAGAGAGAGAGAGAGAAGTGAAGCAAATGAGAGAGGGAGAGAAAGATAGAGATGGTAGATATATTATTATACGTTGGGACAGAGGGAGAAAGGAATTGTGAGAAGACAGGTGAGAAACAAAGATATAGAAATGAGAGAGAAAAAATAGAAAGAAAGAAAGAGAGAGAAGATAAATACATAGATACAAAAAAAGGAGAAAGAAACAAAAAAGGGGGTTAAAAAAGGTGAAACGACACAAGCAAAAAATAGAGAGAAAGGAGACAGAGAGAGAAAGAAAGAAAGAGAGAGAAGATAAATAGATTTACAGATAGAGAGAGAGAGAGAGAGAGCGAGAGAGAGCGAGACAAAAGAAAGAGAGAGAGAGAGAGAAAGAGAGAGAGAGAGAGAGAAATTTGCGGAGAGAGAGAAAGACAGACACTCTTTA